TATATATATATATATATATATATATATATATATATATATATACGCGAGCAGTCACACATTGCGTAACTTTCATGTTTTATATCGTGCGTGTAAGTAGCGATGCTCAAGCGAGTACCATTATATCTACTTTTGTAAAGAAAATATAAAAACTACTATGACATATAGAGATATCGCCTATATATAGAGATATTTTATACGCGAAATAAATTACATGGATTTTGAATTTTACACTGTTGTGTTTGTCATGTCAGTCAGCCCTGCCTCCCACGTTTCCCACGTGTACATACGCGGAAAAGAAAATGCTGTTGGGTCAATGGAATTGGTCAGCAGCGCGCACATAGAAAATTACATACTGGTCTCAAGTCGATGTATTACTCAAGTATTTCATAGCTTTACAAGTATATGTCAAATCTATCGTACGTTTATCATAGCATTCAATTTATTCTGAATCCTAATAATTTTAGCATTTCAATCAAGAATATTATTACAAATTAAAAGTTCGGTCTGCTTGCTATATAGAGACAAACCAACTCTTTTCTCAACGAAATTTTTTATAATATTTTTATAAAAATAACAAATTCTTCCTTTAAGACTATTATCAAAAAAATATTTTTTGTTGAAGATAACCATTACTCAAAAGAAGGAAAGTGGCCTGAGTAATTGCTTTTCTTAATTGTAGAATGATATCTTTCTGCGTGCAGTTGGAGTAAATCACACATTGTTTTCTCCTTGATCTTCTTGTTTTAATAGCAATATCATTAAAACTAATACACGAGTTATTAAAACAACGTATGATGCATTTGTTTTAATAACGCTAACATTTCAATAACATCATTACTAAATCGGAATGATTTATACCAATTCATCGACAGCATCGTTTTTCCATGTATGCTTTCTTTAGCGCGATTTCGTTTGAATGAAATCATCGTACTAATATATGAAAGCGTCTATTAGGACCATCGGACACTCAGTATTTATATAGCTGCCACTTCAAATCATTACGACCGAGGCTGGAGGTCATAATTACGTGACGACTGACGTTTCGGGTAGTCGCGTAATCACGCCCTTTGTCTCCTGATGGATGTCGGGACGCGCGCGCTCAATCTTTTCGGCAAACGATCAGAGTTCGATCGGCTCGTAGGCCTCGGGGGCTCTCTCGTCGATAAAAGTAATTGTCGGTGCGGGCTCGTGCTCGCCACGAGACGAATCGATTGGATCCGACTCGGGATTCGACGTGCAGCGTACTGAGTACGCGCGCACGCGCGCAATAACGCTCGAAAGTGGCAGAAATTACGAGGCCATGGCGAGTAAATCTATCGGCACGCTTTCGACAAGCGCGATATTTATATCGCATTCATTGACACGCTATATCCGAGAAACGCGCTCATTGTCGTTCGCGCAATCTCGCCACCGTCGCGAACAATGTTTATGGCCGCAAAACGGATCCTTCGCGAGGTTCGCGCGCTCTATATCTTCCGAATGCCACACGCGCGTTCGTTGCCGCAACTCTATCTATCTAGGTGGTCTGTGCGTCGATCGCGCGACGAGTAGGGAACTCCACGTCCTTTCATCGACTTAACGAAGCGAGATCTATTAATCTAGCGTAGCTACGTTATAGGCGAACGTTATGCGTGACGAAAAAATGAAACTAAAGCAAGAGAACATAGCCAATAAGAGCGGATCGCGGATGTTGATGTTGATGCGAACAATTTAAACCTATAAGAGAACAATAATGAAAGGATAATAATTTGAGAGGGGGTGAACGAACGCATTGAATGCATTTCCAGTCTTGCTAATTATCTTCCTACAGTTTAACTGTCTGATGACACATCTGTTAGGACACTTCAATCTGCCGCACTGGGGTTGTTTTCGTCTTTACTTATTTATATTCCGTAAAAGTGTTAATAAAAATGCATAAAAGACAATAAATATATTTTTAAGTCTGTAAAGTAGAATTATGTGTAGAGATGATCGCAGAATATTCATTTAAATATTCCATTTTGTTGCAAATGTAAAGAGTAACTTGATTACCTACAATATAACCAAAAATAAATAAATTCCTTACATAAAATTTTTTTCATATATTTAATGTAAAGAACTGAAATAAAGAGAAATTATATTTATTTTACACTTTGATACTTTGGTCTCTGACACGCTACTCTCTTAAAGTGAATCAGTGAATAGTCACTGATATCAATTATGAGTATAGCACTGAATACTTTCAGTGTTATACTTATAACTGCAATCAGTGTATATTTACTGTTTTCAGTCTTGTTTACTGATTCATTTTAAGTAGAGTAAAAAATCACTCCATAGCAACTTTGTCGTTTTGTTACCTGGCAGATATTGAATTGGTTGTGTTTGAATCTCATGTTTCAAACTACGATTTTTTTTAGTACTTGAACTGAAAATTCTTATTGTATTAGTTTGCGGATAATTCAAAATTAAAGATAGGATAAGACCCGATGTGCTAAAATTAGGGTCAAATTACTCGCGATCAGCTCTTATTGACCATGTCCTCCAACTTTAGTTATATACTTAAAAAATGAAAGAAAAGAATAAATAAAAGGAAAACACTTTCAAATAACTCTATGACGTTGTACTTGAGCAACATAGTCTCTGGCGTACCTTATCGCGCGAGAGGTTAATCGATATAAGCCGGCTCGCGCTGGTGTGAATGCGTGCGGATTATCCGGCAGGTTATCCAATTTCTTCGCACAATGAAGAATCGAGAGTGGAGATCGTTACGCTCGCGCGCGAGAGTATCCCTTTCCGTCACACACGTTCATTCGTTCATTCATAGTGTGTAACGCGGTACAAAGCTCTTTTAGCGAAGCAAACAACATATGGCGAGCAAACGCACGCTGGCGACGCGTTCAATTGATTTCGCCCGGGCTAAACTGGCTACCTGCGCGCCGCGTTATTAAATCCCACGCGCCTCCAGCGCACGCACTCCGCCGATTCAATCGGCCGTGGTGGCTCCAATCGCGCTTTTTGTCCGGCCAACTCGCCCATATGGGTCGTCGTCGCGCGAACGTGCCACGCTCGCCCTTCTGACACTGTCGCATCGCTAATATATGGGTCGACCTGCGAGTTGAGCGTGTGTTCTATCGACGCTTGGAGATTCAATCGGTGTAAGCACGTCACGCAACAAGTTTATTTGGTCAAGTCCCTGTAGCAGAAATGTATACAGTTTGTGCCCGCACCTTTATGAGCAACAGATTTGACTATCAATCAATCGAATAGTTTTGTGAATAGTGTGATAAAGTGTTTGCTTTTTGTTTATTTTAATGCTTTTATTTGTAAATTGACGAGAAAAATGTATTTGTATATAAAGAATATATATTTCATTAAAATATTTTTCTTAGTTCTGAGTACCTGCACAGTGCTCGTAAAGTTTAGCCGTGAAGAGTAGCCAGATATAGAAATACATTTCTATATATTGACAGAGCACTATGGTGCATAGTGGAATTGGTATCATTCTATTGTAATAAAAGTAATAATATAGTTACGAGAGGGCGAGAGAGAGAGAGAGAGAGAGAGAGAGAGAGAGAGAGAGAGAGAGAGCCCTTAACGACGAATTATAGCCACAATGGTGGGTTAACCGTACAATAAGAGTGGAATGCAAATTTTGGAACTGGAATATCTGCGTATTTCGCGTACGATATATGCGGCCTCGTTTAAATCACAAATTGTCAAGGGACTGACGGCCCATTGAACGGAGTCCTTTCGTCCGGTACGACAGGTGCACGCGCCATTTTCGAGTGTCGGCCCTCGCAGGCAGCGCGATGTGTATACATTCGCACGGAAACACGCGCAAGCAAGAAAGTGTGGAAGCAAACGCTACCTTGGCCGCTGGGCTTTTATGGCGACCGGTCCGATCGAACAGGTGCGTCGGAACGGATATACACATATAAAACGCCCAGGGTAAAAGGTTCCATTATTCGGTTGTATATGGCACTGAGGCTCTGCACTGTGCAAAGACTTTTGCGAGAGAAAAGCGGCCGCGGCGACAAAAGGTCGTAATGTCGTGTAGGCCACGACCAAGAATGGGACATCAGCTACGAGGTTTTCGGCACAAAGCGAAGGGGGTCGAGGCCGGCCATCGTCTTCGACAAAAACTTCCCGCCGCCTCGTAACAACTGCAGATTGCTGACTTCGGTCGTTGGAATTATGTCCAGGTAGTAATAACAGAATACGTCGTTGTGACGTTCGATTGGTATCTCTATCGGCATTACAGAAGCCCTATTTTCGTGAAATCGAGACGACACGTAATTATATGTCCCTTAGGTTTATTGTCGTGGTGACTGAAAATTAAAATTCCGCAGGATCTTATCTCACGCTTATATAGAAAAACTTTCACTTTCATTTTCCTCACTTTCTCCAAGATACGATCCATCAGACACTGCAAGTGTTTTTATGTACTATATGACCTTTTTTTAAGCACTTCAAAGCATTTACAGGGACTCTATGTTTGTACTTGTTTCACACAGGTAATCCTTTTTCGTTATTTGCACAGGTAGTCGTTTCTTGTTATTTATACCTTTTATTATACCTTTTATATGTCTGATGATTATTGACACAATCGTTATGTGCAAGTAAAATTCATAAAAATAAACTGAATACAAAATTCCTTTACCATTTCGTAAACTACGTAAAGTTTCGAATCATTAATTAAAGAGCGTGATTGTGCACGATAATACATTAATTTTCTTTAATTAATAACTCAAAATTTTACGCGGTTATTTACGGAATAATAAAGGAGTTTTATATTCAGTTTAATGAAATCTACCTGGAATTTTATATATATATATGTAATATAATTATTGACAATGAGTATGTCAATAATTGTCAGACATCCTATACAGGTGCAAAAAGCGCCGGGTTACTTACTCTAAATACTTCTGCGCGAGGTTCTCTGCAACAACGATCTCACGATCTTTGGCACGATTACTGAAGAGCCAA